AGGAATAAACAAATCTAACCAAAATCAACTGTCGAGTCAATGTACTTTGTAAAACTGAACACGCAGAGAGACAGCTCAAGACTTAAGAACAGAAGCATGACTGTTGTTCCTTCCCTTGCCCATGTCATTTGTTTGCAGCATTTGCACTGAGCTTTACCAAAGTGTGTCTGCATGTGTTCCCTGGCAGAGCTGACTTGATTATAATTAACGCAGTTTTAATGAATATGCAGTTTGAGTGCAATTTTCGGTCCACCTACTGTGATGCACGCCTAATGTGTCTAAATACCTGCTGTTACCAGTTTCTTTCCCCGAACTAAATCCCCAGGTTTTTAAATTCTTTCCTTCATACATGTCCCATATATAACCAAAAGCTGATGATTGCTGGGAAATATCTCATAAGCGACTTTGCGAAGTCCCGCTTCTGGAGGGCTAAGTCTCAGAGGAACCTCAGGGCAAAGATGCTCCACACTGTCACGGATGTCTTCTGAAGCTGTAATGGTCCCTCCCCCCCGCCTCTATCTGTTACCCACAGAGTTGAGTTGATGTTTCTGAACTCCAGGCTAGCTGAGGAAATGTTTTGTGCCCCTCTGGCCTACATGGCAGAATTATATAGGTTACATCTGGAACAGCACAACTTGTGGTCGGTGTCTCTTTGTCTTTTAGTATGAAAGTGGAAGACTGAAGTGTTAGAACACAATAGTTGAGATTGGATGTGATGCGATAGATTCAGACCGTTTGCGCGTGGGTCTTTGGGAGTGGGGATCCAAAGCTGCCTCAGCTAAGCCTTCTCAAACACCATCTGCTGACCCACACCTCCTGTGCCATCACACTCACCAAGATTACATTTTGCCCAGGTCCTCCATGGCCAGTGTAGAACTTTGTAGTTCCATTTTCCCGAACCATCAGAAACAATTGAAGTTGTAAAAACTGGACTCAACATTGGTGTATCTGTTTTACCAAGCTGAGTAAATTAATAATGGCATCGGTTGAAAAAAACAAATCTGGAATGCATGTCAGTCCACACACGTGGGGTTATATTTACAAACTACTGACAAATATAAAGTGTTTAAAATGGCTTGCTCTTGCTCTCTTTGACTAATGATGCAATGCTAATGGGTGTTCAAACATGCTGTTATTAGGGTCTCTTAAAAGTGCTGTTTTTTGTGTTATGTGGATTCTGCCCGATGCCCGCTTAGTGAAAAAAAAAAAAAATATATATATATATATATAGCCGCACACCTATCACGCAGGCAGATATAGGAAAAAAAACACCTCTGCAAATGAACTACTGTACACAGAAATGAAATTGATGTATAGATGTAGTTGTTTATTGTCTTGTCTGGATTACAGTTCTTAATCTTATATAATTGTGGTTCACTTAACGTAGTAATATGGAATATATCAGTTTAACATTTGGTGTATAGAAGAAGGGAAAAATGGGAGCAGAAGAATATGCATCAGGGCTCTAAGGACTCCCAGATGCTGATGAATAGGAGAGAATTAAAGCTCCTGGTGCATAACACGACGCGTAATGTAGTAGTGTAGTCTAAAAATATTCTATTCTTTTCCTGCAAGCAGGCCACGTTTAGTATTTTAAGATGGTTCAGACAAAAATAACCTTTGTTTCCCCCACATCTATTACTTTTGATGAAACAGCACCTCTAGATGATAAAACAAATGCATTTCCCGCCATTTTATCAGCTCTAAATGAGTACGCTTCAGCTAAAACTGATGAGCTGTGTTTTCATCTACTCATTTGATTTGGTATAAACAAGCCATGAGAAAATAGGTCCACAAACTACAAGATGGCATATGGTTCTAATTCAACACAAACCTGTTCAAGGCATACTAAAAAATACAACATCGCGTGTGGGTGTGTGTGGGTGTGCAATGTGCATCACTGCAGATGGCCATGGGCAACACGATGGAGGAGGGCTGTTTAGTGGAACTGTACTGCATGTGTAAGTGAAACCATGAAGTTTAAACAGAATGTAAAATGAGTCATTTCTTGTCATGAAAAGAACATTTCATTGTGTCAGGGAGCAGAGAATGTAGGCATGAATGCATCAAAGACATATCAGCCGAGATGACAAAACTGATCGTTTGGTCAAACAGTGTGGTGACAGAAAAGGGAAATGTGGACACCTTCATGAGAAATGCACTGATATATACAGGGCAGGCATAGTAAATGTCAGCATAACTGTATCATTGTTGCTAAAGCCAGATAGTCTCATAACAGTCGCTGTCACAATGAAATGTTTGTAGACCATTGACAGTCCTGTTGCTTTGCTGAGCATTCTTGTCACACTGTAGACACTATGGACTGTGTTTTCATGCCCAACACAAGTCGGGTATGGAGTGCGGTCCCACTGTGCGAAGGGGCGGGTTACACTAAGTGTTGGTATTGGTTTTGCAGACCCAAGCAGCATGGCGCAGTCACAAATGAACGGTTTGCTCAACTGTGGGTGTGAACACAGCCGACGTGCCAAGCAGCCAGTCGAAGCGGCTCCTCTCACTCCCTTCAAAATCACCGTGCGGGAGACTCGCACTCTTTGACATGGCAGAAGCAGAAATTGACTTGCTGGAGTCCATGCACGCTGTTGTCATGTTCATGATTGAAATATCATTACATCCACCACATGGAGCTCAGAATCTGTCTGCTTTGAACCTCGATCACATTCAACAAAATGACACTCCTTGCGCCAATGCTTGTGGTCAATGTGGTTGCCGCAGGCGTACATTTTAGTCTACTTTCAGCCACTAAATATTCAGATGCCCCAGGGGGCGTGTCAAAGTTAGGGTCCATGGTACGACGAAATGCCCAGCATGGCACAGAGCCATCTGCCAAAAATTCTCAAATACACGAAATGAGGCTTGCACTGTCACGAAAATCAAGATGCACCACTAAAGTAATATAGAGCGTTATATTTAAACCCCAAAGGCCATTTTGTCAGTGCCACATTATTTTTATTTATTGATTCATTTTTATCTTTTCAAAGTGTAAGAACCTCCAGAGCTTCTGGAGTATACTGGACCCAAATTTGCATTACATACACTGAAAAAAAAATCCTTTGGATTTATTTCATCTGAACAAGTACATGTTGCAAATGATTAAAATGTGGTAAACCGATGATCCTCAAAAATACACAAATAAGTGTCAGTTTAATAAGTTTTAATCACGTGCAACCGAACGTCAAGTCCTTTTTTTTTTCAGAGCGCAGATCTTCGCAAAGGCCGAACTGTTAATGATGAGTGACATCATGTGTTTTTTTGTTTAGTTATCTGCTATTTAAGCAGTCTATTTCCTGGTTCATGGAGGAGGATGCACAGAGGTGCTATTATGATTCCACGTGGATGCATAGCTCAAATAAATTTTGGTCCTCACACCTTCATCCTGATCCTCATCAAAATTAAATAGCACATGCACCGTGGGATGTTGAGGCTGCCGCGTTGCTTGCATGACTGATTCAAGATGGAGTGTTGCCAAAAATGAAATGTTATCAGTTTGATGTTGTATTTTTTTGGAATGTCCAATCAATTAAAAGATAACAGCGGTGCTCAAATTGACCCGATGATAAGATTGGAACGGTAACGTCGGCACAGGCATATGCAGACGTCCTTATGCACTTGCCCTCGCCTCAAATCCAAACATTATATCCCTTAATATGAAGACGAGAGCTTTCCAATTCCTTCCTTTTAAACTTTGTTATTAACCAGAAGAAGCTGCAATAGTCTCCTTTGATGGCGTCTCTTTGTGTCCCGAGGAGCCTCGGTGATATACGATCGACACATCCCTCAGTCATGCTTTCTGTCTCGACGGTTGGTTAGTTTATTCACACCCTGATAAATTAAGAAGTAACAATCAGGAATTAAAATGGAGGCATCAGATGGGCCAGAGATGGCTGATTTTCCCACACTAAACGTTTTAGTAATATTCTTCTGTGAGGGCATAGACACAGTTTCCATTTTCTGAACCACTTATCCTCACTAGGATCGTAGCCATATCTAACACAACGCGTGTGCGTGTGTATGTGTGTTTTTCATCACAGAGCAACAATTTAGTAACATTACGAATTTTCTGCTTGCGATAATAAGATGATTAACTATTCACATGTATTTGTCAAGATAGGTGTTCATGTAATATTTGCACGGTAGTTAGAAAGACCCAGCACTTAGATATCAACTGCTTTGGCTGGTGGGCTACAAATATTTAATTTATTTTCAACTTTCCTGCACAGAGTTGGTGCTTTGGGAAAAAGGCTCAGTGTTTTGCTGCCGTGTTCACGGAACCAGAATACAACCATATGGAAAGGGATGTCCCCCGAACTACTGAAAAAGAGGCTCGGGACAGTAGATGTGAATTCATGATGAACTGCAAACCCACTTACGCACACGCGCATACACACACACACACACGCACACACACACACACACACACACACACACACACACACACACACACACACACACACACACAGACACATATAAGCTTTTTTGCATGGAAGCACAAGAAACAAATTTTGACCAAAATGAGGCTAAATGTGTATTTAATGTGAGAAGGAAGAGGAGGCAGCAGGGAGGAGGGTGTGGAGGAATTGTAGCACAAGAGAAGGTTAAATGATGGATTGAAAGAGCTCCTGCTAGACCTGGAGGTTACCAGTGTGAGCGGGTTACAGCTGGCTAGCTCATTCCACAGAGCTACATATCTCATAATAAACATCATATGGGTAGTTTGGGCTGGCGGGTGGGATTAAGTCAGAGCTGTGAGGTCTTAAAAGACTCAGTGCTGTGGACAGCCCAGTATCTATTTAAAGGGAAGCTGCGAATGGATCAAAGCCAAGCATGAAAGGAGGCAATGGAAGTGATCAAGTTGATACCGGTATATGTCAGTCAAAGATATGACAATAACGCTTTCAACTTACATCATGTCACTTGCAATTGCAACTTTTGCAACTTGTCGCCGATAAAAGGTTTATGGCTGCCGTACCTCTTTTATCCAGAGTTGCCCAGCAGTCCAGGTGGTCAGTTCACATTTCGACCGTTGCCGCCACCTCCTCCGCCCCCGCATGCCTGCACCTGCGCCCGCCCGGCACCCTACACCCAAGTCAGTCTGCAGAGGAAAACCATGCCGACGCGATGTCAGGCCAGCCAGGGCGTCCAGGGGGCAGACACCAGTTCAAGCACGGACCAGGCACAGCTTCATGACAGCTGGGTGCTGAACAGCAACATTCCCTTAGAGACCAGGTAGGAGAACGCAATGAATTCTAATAGCCTTCTGATTTGACCTGACGATGAAAAATACAGTATGTGTTAAGGCGGGCATGTGCAGCACTTTCCTCCACAATGCTTTCAGCCCAAATCTGTGGATTTATTTTTTGCCATGAAACTCTTAAAATAAGTGAATCTTCCAGGTAACTTCATTTTAATGATAAAAGCCATTTATTCAATCGCACAAATGGAGTATCATTACATTAAAGGGAAGTGTTTAAAGAGGAATTGGCAAACCTTGATAAAATTCAGTGGGGAGCAATTAAGGACAAGAACTTTATTTGGATGTTTTGAATTTGCCCCCCAAAAAGTGGAGCAGCACACAAGGCTCATGGGAAATATTAGACGTCTTTGCACGCCATCAAAGTTGTCGTGAATCTCTCAGGTTTTTCACTGGATTTTCCCAACACACCTCTGAAGCTCCGTCGGGGGACCATAATGAGCTGAGATGTCACGAAACAAAATCAGGCATCGAGCACAAATCCTCTTTTTGGGGAACATATTGAAATTCCACCTCCAGTTGTGGCACCTGAAAACATACTGTACCGTCTAATGCTCCGAGACGAGCGGCTGAAATTTCATCCCATCAAACGGAATTAAGTATTTCCCAGCTGCATAAGTAATAATTGATCAGAGAATTATTTCGCAGGTTCTCATTTATGAGGCTGATTTTGAGAAGAAGCGGAAAGGTGCAAAAGAATATGTTTGCATGTTTAATGAGACCTCAGCGTGGCGGCTGAATTTTGGCAGCATGGAAATGAGATTGGCAGGCTCTCATGCCAGAAGAAGTGTTTTTAATGTTATGCATCAGAGTAGATTCTATCTCATTTAAAGTAAAGGGATTAATAAAATACAACCATGTGACAATTTAAATTAATCATCCGCCCAATGACAGTGTAATAATTACTATATGCTCTTCTGACATGTCAGTGTACTGATTAAAAAGAATAAGGTAATACTCACATTTTCCAACTATGATGTACCATCCACAAATGTAAATGTTAGCCGTCAAGGAGCTCGAAGTCAGTTTCTACCTCGGTGTTGTGGCTGCATTTCAGAACGGAATGCAATTAGGATCGCTTTGAATATTTTCTGGGGCCTAATCTTGCTTTCAGATCATTTTTGCAATTTACATCAAAGGATGATTAAGTATCAAACTTGCAATGAGAGCGCATGCTGGTAAAATGGTAAAGGATTATATATTTTTTTAAATGCATGTGTTGTCAAAAACAAAACAATTTTCTTCTTTGCATATCTGATGACTTTGTTGAGTTGCATTAGAATATATTGATCCTATGTCGAAACCGAATACAGCCATCTTCTATATTGTGTTTGCATGAGTCTACCTTGTGAACAGCCTGAGGGCAGTAGTCTTCAACCTCCTGAAGAGCGAGGACTCCCATTTACTTGCTGTCTCAGGGGAAATTTGCTCCCCAATATGAATTTCCAGCTTTCTGAGCATCGCCCGTAGATGTTGTCTGAGACGATCAAACGCAGTGAACTGGGGAGATTTGGAAACATTTTGAAAGTAACAAACGTGAAGATTTGAGGTCCATGCAATTTTGCAAACACATCATCATCAGCTGAATCCGGTTTTTGAGCAAATCCATTTTTAGAAGGAAAAACAGAAGGACTGAATTGCATCTGACCTGTCGATTGGCCCCAGAAGCACTGAAATGCCCATCTTTATCTGTCATCTTTTTATGTATGCTTGTTTTTCTGCAGGCTCTGTGTCCCCCAAGTTTATCTCCTTTTAGACTTGAACTAGCATTGACCCTTTGGGTGTGCGGAAGCTTCATGTGCAGTCTCTCTGTCCCCTGTTTGACTCCCACCCTTCAGCTGATGTTGAAGGGGTGGATGAGCAGAGGAACGGACGGGGGGACAGTGAAGGATGGATGTCATCTGTCTTGTGTTAAATTGCCATGGAGCACCTGAGTTCGACAGCCCCGCACATGGGAAATACTAAGAGAATAAACAGAAGAATGATAATCCCTCAGACAAATCTGGTGTGATACAATTTTTTTCAAGACAAAATAAACAGACTGTCACAGCATTATAGCACTCCTAAATCATTTTAATTTCATCAGTATAAATCAATAACGGACCTGCTATTGTTTTTATTATTTCTCAAGAAATGTTATTTTATTTTTAATTTTCCTTTTAATTTTAGGGTGGTCCAATAATTGTGAGACATTTTCTTTTATTTCAGTCATTCAAACAAAACATTTCTCAGCTTTGTACCCCTCTCATATTCAGAGAGTGACCTGATTCAACTTGACATTTCTTACAAAACAGATTTGGCAACATCCATCTATCCATCCATTGTATGACCTGCTTTGTCCTCATGGGGGTCGTGAGTTTGCCGGAGCCTATCCCAGCTGTCTTCGAGCAGTAGGCGGCCATGATTTGGCAAATGAAGGAATAGTGTGGCCTGTGTTGCAGCCTTGTGTCCTTCAATGTGATCATTCTGCGGTCTGGCTCGACATTAATGACCTGTCCTCTGTGGGCCCTTCGGAGATCCACCAGCAGCCTGTGACCTCACACCCTCTATTGCTCGAAAAGGACACGGTCAGGCAAAGCTGTGCATTGCACAACGTCAACCAGTATTAATGTCCATTGAGCATGATGTAACCTAGGGCAATGGGTGAGGATATTTTCAATTAGAAGAAAATGCACACATTTCACACACACACAAAAAAAAGAACTGGGTCACATCCTTGTCAATAGTACCAATAGACGTAGTTTACTTTCAAATTAGAAGTCCATCTACTAAGAGGACATAACACTGCAAACACTGCTCATACCTCCTCTTTTTCTGCCAAGATCCACTTTTTCAAATTGGATAGCTCCTCCGTGGATCTACGCTTCCTCAGCTCACCCCTAGCAGTTCCTTATCGAAACATGATACGGAGTCACTGAAAAGATTCACTGCGCTTCATTTTATTTTATTTTCATCTACATCTGCCTTCTGAAGCATTCTTATATACCGTACTGTAATCAAAACATCTGAAATAAATAAAGCTTATCTGACTCTAACACAATCATAAATTTCTCTCTCTCTCTACCAGTATATATATATATGTGTGTGTGTGTGTGTGTGTGTGTATATATATATATATATATATATATACACACACACACACACACACACACACATATGGAGATGGGTAAGTGATTGATATTTGGTTAACGGGGATTTTTCAGTCTTTTTTTCAGCTCATTCATAACCTGAATGTTAGTAAAATAAATAAATGAAATTTAAAAAGACGTTCTTTGCAAGCTGTTCATACCTTTGAAACATTGAATGTCCACATTTAATCAGTATTAAATGCCTCGACGAAGGCGGACGCTTTTGCTTTCTGCTCCTGTCCCCCCCACCCCACCTCCACCCTTCCCTGCTCGCCACTCCATGTGCTGTCTTTGTCTGACTTTTCCTAGCCTCCTGCCGTATTTTCATCCTAAAAACAAACATGGAATTGGTTGGCTGGTCTCTCGATGCCATCGACAAAATTTTCTCTATGAGAAGAGCAGGCAGTGGGAAGCCTACTTGCCCCTCGGGGACTTTTGCTGCTGGGTACACCCTAGATCCTTGGAGGAAGCGGAGAATGCTGTGCCTGTCAACACTGTCCGTTGAGGATGTGGATGACATCTACATTATAAGCCTTCAGATAACAGGTATGCTGCTGTTTGGCGTGA